GTATTTCATGTGGGAATGCTATCTCTTTTTATTTATAACTTGTATTGCTTTAGGCACATTTGCATTCACAGATTTATTGCTAAGCCACAAAAAGCTGCTATAATGACGAGCAGGTCAATAGCTGGTTCCTGAGTGATCTGATTGCCAAGCTTCAGGCCACACATTTTTATTGATCAACTAAACGAAATCACATTGTGTGGTTGCATTTGTGTTTTGTAATACATTCCATAGAATGCCAAACCCCCATCTCTCATACAAAAAAAAAACCCCATAAACCACAAGCATCCTGGGAGGCACACTTTCATTGCAAGTTGTTCTTTCCAATCAGATTTCCTGCAAAATAGATATAGAAATGAGTCCATTATCTCCCAATAGAAACATGTTAGATCATCAAGAGCTGTGAATAACAGGGCTGTTTTCTCTGGGCAGTCAAGACCCATGATCAAGCCAGGATCTTAGGACATTATCTCATTCACTAAAGCAGGCCAATTTTTTACGTTTTTGAACATAAAGCATCCTGAATAGCACTAACCAAAATTTTACATGTGTTATTCCTCAGTAAGCTGATGTGATTTAACATTTAAACTTCTTGTGATGCCGAACAATCACCAGTATATGCATATTGTTAATATGAATTTCATGACAGTGGATAATTGTTGACATCTATCATGATGTTCACTGCTATATAAATGAAAAGAAACAACAATAAAATGAAACTATTCCAAGAGCCTTTTACATGACATATATGATTAAAAAAATGGGCATTGAGTGTAACTTCAAAGCAACACTCTTCAGATGACAATAATATGAAGTATTCAATGAGATTACTGTCATGCCATCAGTCCTGTATAGCCAGTGAACTGACTATTTTTGATACTATTATTTTTAAGTTATTTTCTCCTTCTTTTAAATCCACCAACCTAACACCTTATGCTGTTTCTTATCTGAAGAGACAAGGAGACACATGCTATGGGCCTCTGCCAATATTGCTCTGTAGCCCATTTTCTGAGAGCTACAGCAGAATGGACAGGGGTGACAGCCACTGATTTCTCTTCGCTTCCTCTGGGAAGCACTTTCCCCCTTCATCGCTATCTTCTTCACAGGACTGACTAAGATCCGGAGCTGTCAGTGCAGAGGTCATAGCTATGAGCTCACATTCCATCACCTAGTTATTTTATATTTCTCTTTGCTCTGCTGGTATTAATCTTTAGTTCAATCTCTCGTATCTATCTGCCCCTTTAAAACAGCAGCTCTACATGAAATGGACAGCATAGCAATTTTAAACAAAACTCTAAGTTACAATGTATGAACAAGGACAAAAAGAAATAGTTTATGATTGTAAATGTGTGCAAACAATCAAAGAAATTTTAATTAATGAGAACTTCATGATGTGACATATGGCTTTTATTATCACAAATTGATATTGAGAAATAAATTAATCATAACCGAGTCATTTGATCAAAAAGTAAAACATTTTGAAAAGAAGGATTGATTAACCCTAAGATAGCACCAAGCTAATAGAAAATGTCTAAAATGTTGCTCTCAAGCCTCATGTGGATCCAAAAATAAGAGGGTCAGAAGTGAAAAGGTTGAAATCAAGTGTGTAGTTGGGCAGTCCAATTATATTTAACATTGATTAATGAAATCAAAACCGTGGGCCATAAGTATGCACTGAACTGAAATTGATTAGCACAGGAAGCACTTTCTTTTCCAAAGACAAAGGCCTGAGAATAATAGTCACTTCCTTGTTCAGCCACTGTGATGAAGCTAACAAAATGAATAAGACAATGTTAAGATGCAAGGCTAATCTTTCCTCCCCACCCCCCCAAGATTTCCCTGTAACAGAATCCATGCCCGCATTGAGGACACATCAGGAAATCAAAGTTAAATCTTCCAACGCGAGTTTGTAGCAACTGAATACAGTAATATAGCGGTTGTATAGTGAACTAGTAATCCACAGATCTAAACCAATAATCTACTGAAACTAAGTTATCACTTAGACTATTTGAGTATTTTTAATTTGGTAAAAACAGCAAAGGGGTTGAAACTGGTGAAAATGACCGCAAAGTTTATTGTAAAAATGCAACTGGTTCACTAATGTGCTTCAGTGAAGCAGACCTGCCCTCCTTATGTGATCTGGCCAAGGTACACGTCTGCACTTTCACAGCAATGTGGCCGACTCTTAAAACATCTTTCTAAGTGGCCTAGTTATTCACTAGATCATACCAAATTAGTTTCATTGGTTTAAGCAGGTTGGCCCATTACCACCTCTCAGGCAATTTGGGATGAACAAAATGCCAACCTTACCAGTGAGCTCCTATCCAGAGACTGAATTGTTAGAAGTCATGTAAGATGCTTCACTAAGGCAAGGACTTGGAAAATCTTCTATCTTGAATTGAACAGTTAGGATTCCAGGCTGCAGGGTGATATTCTAACACAGAACAAACTTAGCATTTATTCTCTAGATAGAATACTACTGATTGTTGTGATGAGAGATTTTAAGTACTGCAAGGATGAGCTTCAGTAGGATAAATTACCTTTTCTTATAATAGCTTTACACATGTTGTAATGAGACCACAGTATTGGTATCCACAAAACTCAAGATTAATTTTATGTTTGATTGAACTTGTAAGAATAAATCTGATTCAAACTTAAAAATACTCTAAATGTTGTACACTATTTTAAAATGCAATGCATTAAACTTGAACAGATCCCACTTGTAGTTCCACTCCCTCAATACAAAGTGGTATACGAGGCTAAAAGAGAGTCTTGCAACGAATAACAGTGTGGTTGATGGATTTAGTAAGCATTTCACCAACTGCTCAGTTTCATTTCCCTTTTGTCTTCCCCTCCACTTCTCTCCCATTTCTTCTCTGCCTTCAAACGGCACACATTGCAACTCATTGGAACATTCTCTGCATCCTCACATCACATCACCCTCCAAACTCTGCTTGTGTCCCAAGGGGCAACAAATTGACACAAAGATCCTGAGCCTTCCTTTGAAAATACACCAAGCTCTCCCCGACCTTCCCTTAGCGATCTCCTCTTGGGCATGTACCTATACACACCCTGATACTAGGCTACTCCTTGATTTCCTCTATTTTCACCCTCTCCTTCATGACCGTTCCTTCAGATAATGCCCACTGAATGTCTTCACTTATATTTCTCCAACTTGTCATCACCTTCCTGTCTGCATTCATAAATCTCCTTAAGATCTTTCACTTTGATATGTCTTTCCATCCTCAGTCTTTTGCCATTTTCTTTTCCCTCTCCTGTTTTGTAACCATTGTTTTCCCCTTACTCTGAAGTACTTTGCTCACTGGTGAACCCCTTAAACTACATCATAAAATAACAGGGTATTGCAACAGGCAGTGACTGTAGGTATGGTTTGAGCTGGGGTGGCAGAGGTAATAACTGTCAAATCTTTTTAAATATTCTTTCACAATAATGTAAATGATCACAATCAAAACTTGTGATATTGTTTAAGATATCTTACTGTGAAAGTGTTATTTAAAATATCTGTTGCTGCCAGTAGTGACCTAAGTCACATTAGCCCTCATTATTTAATCACCGCCCTTCCTTGTACTGTAACTAATTCAATACCTCAATACACCAAATTATACTCTTTATGGTGAAGTGATCCAGCATCTATATTGTATTACTATTTATGCCCTGTGGCACTAACCACAGACAAGTCACTCAGCAAATCATGAAACCTTTTTCTTCTGCCAAGTCTCGAGACCACTTATACAGCAACTGTCGCTAAGCTACTTCCATCAAAATTATTCTACGCAAAACTGCCATTTCTAATGTAGATGGGGATGAGATGATGTATTGTGACTATATTGGTTTAACTGACTACACAGCAGTGTTTATTCCACTAAGTTTTACATCCATAAAATTTTATACTGTCAACCAATAGCTGATGATCACACCTCCCTGATCAATCCCGCCCCACTGATTCTTTCAGTGATAATACAGCACACTGTCAATTAAATGAACTTTTCTTGTGCCTTAACCCTTTCAATTACTTTCTTTGCTTATTTATTTTGTGTTTCCAACCTATGTCAATGCATTCTCTACTTCATTCAATGAATTCCATGGGTTTACAATGGATTTAATCTCTGCAATTAAGCATACCCGTTCTGCTGAAAATTGCTACCTCATAGAATTCTGTTAGCACAAAGAGAAAATAAGTCTTAATTGTATCTTTTAAGATGCTCCCTAAAACCTACCTTGCTGACCTGTGGACACCTATCCTAATGCTCGTTTGGGTCAATTTTTGTCTAGCTATGATGCACTACTTTTGTGATATTACAGTTACTCCAAATACAATTTGTTGCTGTCAGCATGTAATTGTAATAACATAAACATATATATAAGTTGCAAATGCCTGAATGAGTTCCTATCAAGTCCTAAATAGTCTAGATCTGTAAGGATAGCAGTGGACTGAGAAGAATTCTAACACTGATGTAATAAATATTCAGTCCATTAACTAGAGGTAGCATTCAACTCACTTGGATAGCAGTGACCACAGCCCACATTTAAACTTCCACTGAAAACACACTATTTTGGAACAGTTCTCTTTCCAAATGATTTGCTCAGAATGGAATTTTGACAATTCAACAGTGGTTCCTGTGGCAAATATAACCTGTCGATCACAGCCTTAGCACACATCAAATACCTTCACTGTTGAGTTGCATGAGGAAATCTACTAACCACATGAAAAAAAACATTCTCAACGCAACAGTTGAGTCTGAATTTAAACCAATTGCTCCTGACACGGTTTTGGGTGGGAGGCGGTCATACTGAGGAAAAACATAGCGCTCATCCTAGTATTCAGGTACAAAATAAACAATATTACTGAAACACCTTGTGGAGTTTTTTGGGGGGGCAGAGGGGGGTAATCATTTCAACTCAGTCACTAATCTCTCCGCATTATTTACTTGAGCAGGGGTGCAGGCCACTAGTAATCACAGTCAGTGAGTGAGTGAGTTCGGTGCCAGTTGGTAGCACAGCTCCTGTTTGGAAACAGTTCAGTCGCAGGAAAGCGAACTTGTACAGCAGCTGTACGAATTGGACAAGTCCACATCCAGTCCTGAGCTACCTCCACCAATTCAGAGCGAAAACGGCAGCTTTTGTTTTGGACGGTAAGACAGATGAGGCTCACGCCGTGGGTGGCAAGTGATGTTTTTAGCCCGGAGGGATCCCAAAGTGACCCGGTTTCACGGGCTGCTGTTGCTGGGTTTTAGCGGCTCCTTCTCTGACGGATGCGTGATATTTCTCCATAAAGCGCTCGCAATGTGTCAACAATAAAAAAAATGGAAAGTAGCGAGAGCAGTTGGGAAGTTAAATCTTTATCTGCGCTTGTTTGACCCAGCTCCTCGATCTCCGTAAGCAGAGGGGAGGGAGGGTCTGTTGCCAATTGTTAACAATAATATTTGCAATTTGAAATTGCTAAACCGAATTTGGCCCTTAATCCCAGGGACTGTTTGAAAGGCACTTACCCAGATTCCGCTCTCAATCTCCACATTCATTTGAACTCGAATTCGAGCCTTACCACGGGACGAGATGTTTTTTTTGTTATAAAATAACAAATGCGTCACCCAGTGATAAGATAATGCGGCATCATTTTTTGTAAGAAAAAGGACGTTTTATTCTGCTCTCCCAACCACCTCCCCTCTAACCATCGCCTCCAGTTCCAGAGTTGAAGAAAAGCTGCCCCCTGCATGCTGAACGGTTCATTAAGTCAGTGGGGTTCTACCAAAGAATTCACGTATTAATCAGAGACGGGCTTTAGTGAGACAGTGGTAGTGTCCGTACCTCTAAGCCAGAAGGGTCCAAGCTCAAGTCCCACTTGTCCGGGAGATGTCTGAACAGGTTGTTTGTGAAATATTGTATAATTGAAAGAGGGATGGTCTGTACGCTACGTAAAACAGCTCCGTCTTATCTCCCTGTGTTAGAATTGCAATAGGAATCGAACAGGTTAACCCTTCATTCCCCATGTGCAACACAATTTCAGGTCAGTTTCACATGGCAACTTCCCCACCACCACATGCACACAAACCCTGATGTCCCAGGAATATCGGGCAGCTCTGAATACGGCATCATTCGCAAACATTTTGGAATGGAGAGAGACTGCTGCTTTCCAAACCTCAGGGACAGTGTGCTGCTCTGTACAGATATGGATAAAGTCACAGACCGTGCAGGGTTGGCGGTAGAGAACTAAACCTTTCACTCTGCCCAGGAGGTATCAATGACTGGTTTGAATCTGTCGGTGCAGGTGACTTTGTGTTCCCTGGGCGGCCAGCCTTAGTGTTGGGTGCCTCACGGTTCAGGGTTAAACTGCACTAAGACTGGAACCGCGCGTCCCCTGGTGTGCAGACCAGGAACTGTCCGTCGCACAGAGCACGGCTCCCCTCCGCTCACTCAGACCTTGCGCTAAGCGGCTGTCTCGCCGGCTTTTGGCACTTCTGAATTGATTTTGCATCCTCGGCATTGCTCGGCACGGGCTCTCCTGCAATAGCTGGCGAAGCCCGCATGCGGGCAGTCCCTGTGGGTGAGGGACGGACACCCAGACCCCAAAAGGGAAATCCTGCAGAATGAACTCACTTTGAACTAAAGGAACGATGTCAACTCACCTTCTTCCCCTCCCCCCCGGACGCTCTGCTCTCTGCTCCTTGTTGTGAATTCAGCAAAGATGTCCCCTAATACCACCCACACCCCCTTCCCTCCCTTAAAAAAACCCCTCAAACACAACCCTGGTTCCAGTCTTACCACAAGCTGTTCCTTTCAATGCTCAGTCCTAAGGACGGTCCCTAACTAGACTCGACTTTGTGATGCTGAAGCTACTGAATGCCCACTTCCCACTGTTTTCCTGCTTTTTTTCCCACTGTCTACCCTGAAGTTTTTAGTTTTAGGAATTGTGCTCTTCTGCACCGGCGCCCCCCCCCCCCCCCCCCCCCCACCCCGACCACTCACTGAGGTTTCCTCCGGGTCCTAAAACCCGGTCGTCTCCATTGTTATTAGACCCCAGCCGCATTTCTCCAGAAAAAAAGATGAACGTCACCTGGATCATTTCCTCTTCCTCGCGTCTTCTTATTTCATCCAAGCTTCACAATGATTTAAGAAATGCCTGCACAGTTTAATTTCGACTAGTTTTTTTTTTTTCTCACCGCCCAAACGATGCCCTGCATCGGGATGTGGTTTTAACGCGATAAACTTTGGGGTCAATTCTCAAAAACAAGAGTTGAGGAAATGGTTCACAGTAAATCCGCATTCATTTAGCATTTGGCGGAAACCAGCTTCCGAAATTTCAAATTGCACCGACTGCACAAACTGGGTAGTTTGTCCTTTAAGATTCCACCACATATTGTCCTCTTCGTAGGCAACATATGTGAGTAGTTAGATGCCTCGATATGCCTGTCCGAACTGCGCTGCGTTGCAAAACCCAAAACGACTTCAAAGCAGACAAAAAGTTAGATTCAATAATCTGTGTGTGTGCGCACTATTGGCATCTGCATCATTCAGTCCGCCTTATATATAGTGGAAATATTACAGGCCACCAAGGTATTTTGGATTGGAATTTGGTTCAGTGAGCAGGCTGTAGAGGAGGAAAAACATCGAGCAGAATGAGTTAAGGGATAGCTCAGCATTCTTTAGACGGTCTCTAGGACCCTGCGATCAGAGCTGGGATGCTACAATTTAAGCTTCCATGGAAAAGTTGAACACTTGCATGCATTAAGCCGGGATCTGTATCATTCATTATCGTGGTCCATAGGTGTGAGGCTGGAAAAGCACAACAGGTCAGACAGCATCCGAGGAGCAGGGAAAGTTAACGTTTCGGCCCTACCTGCTCCTCGGATGCTGTCTGACCTGCTGTACTTTTCCAGCCTCACACCTACAGACTCTGACTTCCAGCATCTGCAGTCCTTTTGGTCTCCTCTCATTTATTATCGTGCAGTGACAGCATTAATTAGCACAACGCAAGCCTAGGGTCTAGCCATCATCCTCGCCTAAGACTTTTCACTGAATGAGGACAGGCTCCTTCGCACCAGTGGCGAGAGGCATTCTCCTCACTGTTACAGACTAAGTAAACAACAATGTCAACTTGCATTGAAGGCAAAGAAGGCGCTGCACAGAGGCGAAATCAGACAGGGAGGAAGGGAAGACTGGGGGAACGTGAATTTGTTCCTTGGCAGTAGGCAAAACTGTCGCAATGAACCTCCCATCGCTTTAACACCCACACCATATTTTCTTTTCACGATGGCTTCAATTACAACTCGATGAGGATTGATCAAACGCTTGGTTCATAGCGGACGGTTTAAAGGAGAGTTTGATCGGGACTGGTCACTGATGGAGCCAGATCAAGTTTTTGTTGCATTTTCACCAGAAGGACTTTGGCTCACACCGAACATTTGCACACGAATGCACCAGCTTCCCTTTAACAATAATAAGGCTTAGTTTGGCTAATTGTCGTCGCCTGCTCAATACGACCGGACAACGAGAAATCTGCAAGCAGGAAGCATGTACTGCAAGGGCTCATTAAGAGTTTCACAGTATCTATCTGCATTACAGCCTAGTTGAACAATGTCCCAGATGAGAATGGTCTACAAGAACAAAGAATTTATTCAAATGATAGCGTTCCTTCAAACTCTTAAAAATAATCATATTTTATTTGAGAAAGGTTAAAATTTAAATTGTTGTATTTTCCAATTGAAAATAGATAAATCATGCCTATCTGTACATCAACATAAATCAGCAATGTTATTAGGCATTTAAAATGATGGAATGGAGCAAACTGCAAATTTGAATTTCAGGACTTGGGCAGGTCCAAGTAGTTTCTAATCTTTTTGGACCCCTTCACCTCCCATAATTATGCAAGTATCAATTCAGTTTGAAGTGGTGATCTCCAGACCAAAGGTTAATGATTATCATGCAGTCTCTTTAGGTTTATTGAGTGGCCATCCACAGTAGATTACCCGAAAACAAGTCAGCATGAATTATACAAGTTTTGCATAAGTGAGTGAAGTAAGCCAAAAAATGTCAAATCTAAAGGAGACACTCTTAAAACCACTTCATCAGTGAAAAAAGATGTACATTCTGTGGCACTTCAACCATTATCAGAGCAACAAAACATTGTGCCATGGTTGTAAATTATTCATTGTAAGAACTATTGTGTAATGAACATTTTGATGAAAAAAGAGAAAATTGCTTCTCAAAAGTCTTCACTTCTTATTCTCTTTGAAAGCTTAGTTTTATTGACAACGAACTGGAAAGATAAACAATTCATTTGCTGTGGCTATGCTTGTGTGTATCATCATAGCACAAATCAGCTATAAAATAGCAGCTTGAACTCATGAATAGATAGTCTGAAGGTAAAATAATATCACATGGAGCTACCGAGGCCGTCTACTCGACAGCAACTTGAAAAGGAAAACATTGTTTGTGATGAACAATAATAACTACCTGCTTCTTGACCACAAACAGATAAGTGAGTCGGACTAACACTGAATGAATGTGACTGGACGGATAATTTGGTTTCATCTAAACCAATTGCATATTACTGTATCACCTACCTTTTCTTTGCAATCTTTTGATCTTAACTATACAAAAATATGTCTTCTGTAACTCATGCTCTGAATATGTATATTTTATCCAATGGACACAAATTGCTGTGCTACATTCAGTATGATTAATAAACACCCTCCATGTTAGTACAGCACCGACACTTAGTTACATTTAATACAGACCTTGTTACTCACTTATAATACAACCACAAGAGTACCTCTATAATAAATCATCACTAGGATAATCAATGATCTTGAAGAAAATATTGAAGAATGCATTCTATGCCATATATTCAAATACACTCATAATGCCAGGTACAAAAATGCTACAGTCTTCTGAGGAAGGGTCACCAGACCCGAAACATTAACTCTGATTTTTTCTTCACAGATGCTGCCAGACCTGCTGAGCTTTTCCAGCAACTTCTGTTTTTGTTCCTACAGTCTGTCTTCTTGCTTATTCCTCATGATAGGCTAGTGAAGTGTGAAGTGAAATTATATTATTCCATACATCACTACTTGCTCAGTTTATTTCATTATACTGACTGCTATCCCTCTGTCCCACAAGTGCTGAATCCCACAGCTGCAAAGCATATTTATCATTGAATAAATTATTGATGCTTAATGAGTCTGTTGAGTAAGAGGGTACCGTCATTTTGATTGTGCTTTAGAACTGAAATAAAAGATCCCAAGCTCATTACAGCACTCCTACTTAATTAGTTCACCCATCCCTATTTAAGAACAAAACATATTGGAAATGTAAGTAAAATGTAAGTGGAATACAGTGTGTCATTTACTGTGGTTGGAGAGGACTTAAATCTGTTCTTCTAAAAATTGAATCATTATTTCCTATAGCTACAAAATGCTGTGGTTAATTACATCCTTGGATTTTGATAATGCAGGTAAATAGTTCTGTGTGATGTTTGTGCTTCTACATATAATTAGATTCTAGAAAAGCCTTCACTTCAGTGTTTTAATTTTGAACATGTAATAGTTTGTTTTTAAAGGAAGCATCTATCAAGAATGCTGTTAAGGACTGAGTTGTAGAGCAGTCATTAGAAGCATTTCAAGGTCCAACATCACTGTAGGGTCCATGAGGACTGGCTGAGAGCTCTGAGACTTGAGCATGAATATCCAATCTGACACTCCAGTTCTACCTAGAACTGAGGGAGAACTGCAATGTTGGGAGTGCTATCTTTCAGATAAAATTTTACTTTGATGTCCCATCTGCCCTCTCAGTTGGCTGAGGATTATCCCAATATATGGTGGCTCAGTGATGAGCACAGCTGCCTCACAGCTCCAGGGACCTGGATTGATTCCACCCTCAGGTGACTGTCTGTGTAGAGTTTGCACATTCTCCCTATGTCTGTGTGGGTTTCTACCAGGTGCTCCAGTTTCCTCCCGCAGTCCAAAGACGTGCAGATTGGGTGGATTGGCCATGCTAAATTACCCACAGTATTCAGGGATGTGTAAGTTAGATATGTTTGCCATGGGAAATACAGGGTTACAGGGATGAGGTAGGAGGGTGGGTCTGGGTGGGATGCTCTTCAGAAGGTCGTTGGGCCGAATGGCCTGTATTCACACTGTAGAGATTCTATGATTAATTTGAAGAAGAGCAGGGGAATTTTCTCTGGTACAAAAACAGAAGTTGCTGGAAATGTTCAGCAGGTCTGGCAGCATCTGAGGTGTTCTGAGGAAGGGTCACCGGACCTGAAACGTTAAATCTGATTTTTCCTTCACAGATGCTACCAGACCTGCTGAGCATTTCTAGCAACTTCTGTTTTTGTTCCTGATTTACAGCATCTGCAGTTCTTTCGGTTTTTATTTAGTATTTTCTCGAGTGTTCTGGTCAATACTTAACCCAGTATTACATTGCAACAATACACTAACTGGTCATTATAACATTACTGTTTCTGTTGAATCAGAGATAGTAGGAACTGCAG